GGGGCAAAAGGTAAGGTAAAAACTATCGGTCCTCCTAAATTGATTTTTTAACCTAAATCATCCCTATTATTTTAGCGCAACTTTCACTACAACCTTATAATATTTCACTTAACCCTATAACATCCTTTAAGTGTCCTATAATTGACCAAAAATATATTTCTGTTAAAATTTTCATACACTTTTAACAATTTTTTATATTATATGTGACGTTCCTTGTCTTTTTATTTTCCAGATATTCCATATCTTTTTAATCTGTCAATAGTTTTATCTTTTTGGATCTATCAGTAGTTTTAGCTGGCCAATAATAACTTTTTATCTTTTCTTGATTTACTCTAAACTAAGCAAACCAATTATAATGTTAAGTACCTTGACTAGTATCCTCTTCCTAATATACACAACTAAGAGCAACTAGGAACAAATCTTTACCAATTAAAAAAAATAACGAACAATCAGCTTCAATTGCCATGCCTAGTATCCAACACCTAATATCCACAACCTATAAAGAAACGACTATAACAATAACAATAATATAAGAAGATATGCAGAATTCAAAAAAATAGTGTAAAAATAGAAAGTGTGTGCAACATGCAGAGAAAGTGTGCGAAAATGCAAAAATTGTGGTGCAAAAACTAAAAAATATGAGCAAAATGCGGAAATGTGGAGAATGTAACAAATTGTGGTGCAAAAACTGGAACGAAGCACCAAAATAGTAAATTAAGTGTAAAATGCAAGAAAATATGTACTAAAGTTTGAAACATGTAAATAGCCAACATCTGAAAACTTTATAATTGAGTCATTACAAAATGAACTTGACTTTCTTTGAAGCCATCGAAGTACAAAATAAACTTGAGTCTTCACAAAGCGGATCATGTCATCAGAATATGAACTTGAGACATTGCAAAATAACCCTACCATTACTGTATACGGTCGAGATCGAATGGCTTCGATCTATATACTCGGGAGGTCGTCCGAAGTCCGAGTTCGGATAAGATTGAGTTCGAGCTCGAGGGACTAGACCCGAGTTCGAAAACAAAGCACAATACATACCGAGGTCGAGGATGCTCGACCTCGGAATAGTACTGTTATGAATTTGTAACAGAATGAGC